TTATAAAACAAATAAAAAAAAACTCTTGTAAAAATAAAATTATCATATATTTCAAGCTAAATTTTCGCTCATAGCGGTATGGCTAGCTAGTTAAGTTGATAGAACTTCATTGTCATGAGTTCCATCTCCATACCGACCTTTTATTTTTAGCTACTATTTTGTAGGTACTATTTGCAAATGTACATTATTATTTGAACATAAAGTGAAATGCATCTTTTGAAACTATTTACTCATTGTTTCTTTCCATGGGACTTTTATTTTATTAACTGTATGTTTGATACACTCAATATTAAAGAAATAAACATGCGGCCCGTTCAAATGTCCACTACTTTCATCATGTGTGTGTGTGTTTGTATTAACTGCAATACGACAAAAAGTTTAGGTTTCTACATGAAATAACCTCTTTTCTATTCTTGTCTCCCTTTTCAGGTCAGCAAGAGCGATCTAAAAATAACACAGGAAGTAGATGATGGTAAGAAGAAAGGAATCAAAAAGATTAAGTTTCCTACCATCCCGGCAAGGGACATAACCTACGTCAAGCAAGGGCGTCACTCAGATGGGCGCCTAGACGACGTTGTAGCCTGTATTTACTTGGGCTACATGCCCCGCACCCAGAAGTTTGTCCACGTGCATGTTTACCGCTTCGACGAGGCGGCCACGGCAACCACTTTCGCACAGCAGCTGTCGGGCATCGTGGAGGCTAACTACAATCACGTTCTGGAGGTTGAGGCGGACCTTATCAACAAGGGAGAGGTGGAAGACAACAGAATCTATTCCCCAAGCATCGACCTCAACGCCGATGACTCAGCAGTAGGGTCCTCCTCAAGCGCCTTCAGCGACGACGAGCCGCCCAGTTTTAGAAGCGACATCGACCCTGATCTCCAAAGTCTCAAAGACGTGTTGCCTTTTGATAACGTCGCCGAAGAGCTGAAATTCCGGCTGCAGCTGGGAGACGCCCCTCTGCTCCTGCCTCCCAAAGACTACGACACCATAAGCCGTGCTCATGGAAAGCTGGACAAGGTCAAAGAGCGCAGGTGTCTTAATGTCCAGATCGTGGGACAAAACGCGATTACTGAAGTGGATGAAAACCGCGCGAGGTTGGGCTCCATGGAAAGCGGAGTGGACACTGCGTCGCCAGGGAGCGATTCAACAGAGAAAAAAGAAAACGTACATAAGACAACGTCTTCATCAACATCCCCAGGAATTTCACCCCGAGAAGAAAGGCGATCGCTTAAAGACAAGAAAGCCTCATCCCTGAACACAAACCACATGAAACTCGATCTGAATTCCAAAAATAGCCAGCATTCAGGCAGCATCTCTCCAGTATCACCCCCGGTCTCAGCTAAGGATTTCGTTTACCCACCAAAGAAGAAAAGCCCTCCCACCAGCCCCCGCCTCTATCGCTCTGAAGTGCCAAAGGAAAAACTGGTGAAGCAGTCCTCCATCAACTCTTATCTCAATGACGTGGCAAGGCCCCAAGACAACGTCTTCCGGGAAGAGAAGCCGACCCACTATTTCCCAAATAGCTCTTCGGAGGATATCTACGCCATGCCGGCAAAGAGGAGCCCATCCAAATCTTCTAGTAATCCATTACCCCCAGAGGTCGAGCTTCCTCCAGACTACGACGACGACGTTGTATTCAACAACAACATCAACGGCAGCAAGTTCAGCAAGACGGAACCCGTGAATCACAAAGTACGTTTGAAGCGAAACGCCTCTGAAGATTACCCCCGGCATGAGTTCCTCTCAAGCAGCGGAAGGCCAGCTGACATTAGGCGAAACGATCCTTACGCTGCAGCCCGACCATCCCATCAAGCCAATGACAAATCCAATGCCCCTCGATTTGGCCGCGTTAACTCTACCAAAAAGTAAATTTTAAAAAAGCATGCCACAAACATAAGAAAGGAACGATTTTAAAAAGCCAAGATGTCCATTAATTGTGGCTCGCTAAACTGCACTGATCTACTAAACATTATTGCAGGCTCAAGATTCTTATTTGTGTATATTGTTCAATTCAAAATGTAATACATATAAACATTCTTGTAGGGAATTTTTACCATTGCGACAAGATTGCAACTATAAAGTGTGACTTAGATCCGAGAATACAAAGTGATGTTAGCTCAAATTCTGAAATTGTGCCTGTTGTAAATGGAAATCTGAGATTGCGATTCTTATACTGTGAAAACATTTATATACATATATTAATTACAAAAGAAACACACATTTGATATCCAGAAGAAAACTACCAGCAAAGACAAAGTGCTGACTGAAAATAACTGTAATCGACCTCGACAGACAATGGCTTTGTCTAATATATTGAGATAAAAAATGTAGGTCACAGCTGGGTCCTCGTAATAGAATTTAATGTTCCTTATTGTTTGGGCTCGTACACAATGCCACTCATACCTGAACAGAGTTTAGTACAAAAAAATGTTTGTGTGTGTGTCATGATTCACCAGTTTGTGGGTGTGTACATATTGTGTGTATGGCATATACTCAGGCAAAGAACCTTAGGACAAGGAGAAATCAAACCAATTCAAAGCAAGTAAATATTGAGAAGAAATCCATTTTCTGTGGTTCGAGTCCCATATTTCTTTGACTGTTACATCCTTACTATTGATATTAGTATTGAATGTTGAACTATACTTTCAGCAAATCTAGTAAGCAATTTATGGGATTAAGTTAAAGTCTATGAGGTTCAGTTAACATTCAATAATTGTGTAGCCTATAAGTAAAATTCATACGTTGCGATCAGTGGGGCAGATGATATGGTCATCAGTTTCTGTCTCTAACTGTTAACCAGGAAGTCATGTGACAAGCACAACGACCAGACACCTATTACTTTGCCCCATCCAATGGCAGGTCCCATTTAGAGTTTTGTATATTCAGTTGTTCCCTAGAAATCCCGAAGTTTAAAATCTCATTCTTCACCATGATTCAAACCAAGGAGCACCCAGTTCAGAAGCCATGAGCTTTATCACTCAACCATTACGCCCCCTTCCCGGGAGGTCTATGATTTTCAGTTCCAGTTCCATAAGTGCTTAAGTAGAGGAGAGGACCAGCTTTTTTTTTATTTGCATGATAACTCTGAAAATGAAGAGAGGTTGTTATTTATCATTTACATTGTTAACGAGCCTTAATGTAGCCTGCTTTCTCCAACAGTTGTTAAATATAATGTTTGGTCTCTGATAAACCCAGCGAGAAATAGATTCCAACTTAGTCCAGGCTTCAACTCGAGCTCTTAGAGCTTAATACCTGAAAACACAGCTACGTTAATTCATGTATTGAATTTTTGTTTTATTATATTAACTGCAATAGTTTTCCTACATTGTAATGTGACTCAGGCAAAGAACCTTAGGACAAGGAGAAATCAAACCAATTCAAAGCAAGTAAATATTGAGAAGAGTTCTTGTTCTTACTCTTTCCACAGCTCTGTTTATTATACTGACATTGACTTCTTTTTGTTATATTTCATGAACTTTTTGGTCAAATCTCTGTTGAACTTCATATTTAAATTGTTTATTTCGGAACAGCCACGGCTAACGTATCCCATGTACCTATATACATTGTAATATTTGAGTATGCGAATAACTTAATGTCAGTGTGTTCTTTTTCTTATTATAGAGTTTGTTCAACTTTACATCATTCTGTCCGAAACCAGGCATGTCACAAACATATGGGCGCCACTAGCAACTACCTGGTCAGACAGTGACATTTCGTTATCATTCATAGTTTTTGATTAGGCGGTTCAAATGAATCGTAAACTTAACTGTAAACGTACATTAAAATGTTTTGGGATGAACTTTACACTTCAGTTTATACAGAATTGGTACTCATGAACTGTAAATCTTTACTTTTCACACAGAAACGACTCAAATAGACTTTATTTGTGTGGCATAAAAAACTTGGATACCGAGTAAGAGGACTTGAGTTTAAATCCCGGAAACTTTCTGCCAGATTTCCCAACAAGTTCACAAAATATATTTGGATCAGAACGCACTTTGCAAACTATTGCATTGAAAAAAAACTTTACACGCACACACCTAAAATAGTTCAGATAAACTTTTGTTGAGTAGTGTAAGCCGCCTGACTACCGAGTAAGGGGCCTCAAGACCCACACTCTAACTGATTTGCGTTTTCTGAGCGCCTAAAGGCAGCATGGAAACCTTGTCTCAGATACCACCAGAAGTTCACACAAACCTGATTGTACCATAGGGCACTAAGCAAAGCAAAGAAAACTTTACACACAAAAAGGTTCACATCACCTGTAATCATTTCACTTTATATCCAGAGATGGCAAAAAATGAAAAATATCAATCTCGAGGACTGCAGTGACGTAGCTAAGAGTTCGCCATCATTTGGGGGCCTGGTGGGTTTGATCTCTTTGTGGGCCTCATGCATTTTGCGTAATAATTAATATTTAATGTAAAAAAAAAACACTCATTTGGGTGCCCCTACAAGTTGGGGAGATTTTCTAATTCTACCCTTTCCCCCTCCCCATATTTTAGCTACGCCTCTGCGAGGGCAGTAAACTCTTTCGTCCAAGTCAACCCTAACCTGCCCAAGGGTTTGTGCTGCCTGAGCAGGGCTTTGTACATGATATTATGTGAGCCTATTTATAAACAAACGTTAATATCCTATACATATTTTATCATAACTCTCGGGATACACATCACCCAAATAACAAACTGTATCAATTACTTAATGTATATAGATATATATCAGCTGACTTAGGGCAATGTATCAGACAATGAAGAATGTACATGAATAAATATTATATTTTTAAATAGCAAAAAAAAATAAATAATTAACCAAACAAGCAGGAAAAATATATTGGTTTACTCACTAAAAATTGTTTTATATCGTAAGTTGTAAAGTGTGATCAATATATCTGTATACTCTTGTGTTATAACATGTCATATGCCTATTTTTTAAATTTAATTTCTAATGTTCTATATCTGCTAATGATGTGCGACTAATGACTGTAGAGAATAGAATAGCCCCCCCCCCCCCCCCCAAAAAAAATGCTATTGAATGAATAGAATGGGAAGCTTTTTGGACCAAGACCCAAAATATCCTATAGAGAAAAGAATGTGGTAGAGTCTACAGAATCGTCGTAAGAAACATTATAATACGAATCATGCGTTTGATATTTTTTTCAATTGTGTAATTTGAATATGTATTTATTGCTGTTAAAATAATAGTTTAAATTAAAGAATATTTTTTTGTTTCTTTCTTTTGGAGTTATTATTAATATTTCTTCTTAGTTCATAATAATGTGTTTTTTTTTCTATAGTTTTTATGCTAGAGCAAATTTTTGCGAATTCTCCCTCTTTCCTAGTGCTACTGGAGCATGATATGGGTTGCCTGAGTCAGCCAGGAAAACCAATGACTTTTAAGGATTTAAGTCATTTGCTAACATGCATGACTAGATTGACCTAGGAAGACTTTTTTTTTAAGTAACGTCTGTATTTCATATGATAAGATAAGATAAGATGTCTTTGCTTGCGTCATTGCCCTCGACAAAATAATCATTTTGAAGTTGAACACTATGAAAATGTGTTACAGAGGCTTCTCGTCGTTGGACAGGATTTACACAAATATTACATTTTACCAACCCATTCAGCTTCATATGCGTATTTAGGTAACTTGTTTTGAGATAAAAGAAAGTGTGCTAAATATTGTCCCAAATATCATTCGTTAATTACATTGTCTTTTGAAGTGGTCTATGTAGAACCCCAGTAGTCTACGAAGACTTCCAAGGGGTGTACGATAATGTATCTCATTTATGATTTGTACCTTAGGAAATCCTTCAAATTTCTATCCTGCTGAGTGAATGAAAACTCTAAATAGTGTAATTTTGTCTAGTTGTAACTTTTAACAAGAAGAAATGTAGACTGAACAGCATTGAGTATTTGAAATTGAAGTTCATGTCTTCCTTGTCAAACAAGCGAGTGCCTATGTGCCCTTTTTTTATAACGCTATGAAACCAATTAAGTCGGAGGATCATTTGAGATGACGCCTGATGCCAACCAGACAAAAAGATAGAGGTTTGAAAAACTTTCGAACGCTTAAAGATAAAGCCTAGAATACACCCACACAATTTCTCTTTGACCTGATATTTAGAAGATGATGATTAGTGAGCGCTTTACAATATCTCTGAACTGAAAACCTCCTCCTACTACTACTACTATAAGGCAAATCATTCATTTTACCAGCGGTGAAGTTGTACAAGAAATGTCATGTCTTGTTCTTGATGAAGAATACAATTTGAAAGACATGGTTGGCATTTTCTGGCATTTTCTCCAAAAGTGAAAATATGCTTCTGGAACACATGTTATCTCGTTATCTCATTATGTTGTGTACGGTTCTGACGTGAAAATTTAGAAGTGGTAGTATCAGGATAGTTTATAATAGGAGTGTCTTTCTTGTATTTCGAGGGAGAGCCTTTTCATTTTTCGTTTTTACTATTCACTAATCATTTCTTCATTTCCTTCGCATAGAGTGCGATGTTCAAGTGTGTAGTTCTTCTCTCACAGTGCCAGTCTTCTCATTTCCTTTTCAAGCTTTGGAGAACTGTTTTTACACTGGTCTTGTAGACAATCTGACTATTGGGAGTCCTTGGATGATTCGCTAGCATGTCAGCTGTTTGCTCCAGTGCTCCCATTTCTTCTCTGTGGTTGTCATAGAGCTCATTAGTTACAATGAACTTATTTCTTAATTATTTTTCTCCATTAGGCTATTCAATGAGTATTCCAGCTATTCTGTTTGTGGTGGCTTTTTGAGAACCATCCATGCAAACTCTGACCCATTGGTTGTTAGGGAAATGAATTTCAAGAAAACAGTTCTCTTAATGCTTGACCTCTGTTGAAATGTAGTCACATTTTTCTTTCTCCTGGCTGAGTCAAACTTGTCTGGTAATGACTTTTTTTTCTCAATTTATAATAGATCAAGAAATCCATGAAAAACTTCTCTTTGTGATCACTTTTACTAAAGTACTTAAGGCACCTTGATATTTAATGTTTTGAAGAACAACCAATCCCTATATGAAACATAATATCCATAGCAATGGATGGTGAGCTTGCAAACCCTTAAAAACAAAAAATTTTCAATGTGTTTAGTGATTGTATGTAATGCATATTAACTGTTATTATAATGGGTTGAAATTTGAAATTTGTTAATACATTTTAAAAAAAAATGATTTAACTTCAAATGTTGCTTTAAATTACTTTTTCACTCTTCGAGTCACTGGTTATAAATTATTTTTAAAAAATGTGTAATTTGAAGTTGATGAATTTTCAAAAATGCAATATAACTTAAGCAGGGGGTCTAAGGAAAACCAGAAAACATGGCAAAGGGTCTATGACACAAAATAGTTTAGGAATCACTGGTTTATAATTTGCAAGTGAAATTGATACCTTAAATGCACGGAGAACAATAGACTACCTAATGATCGTCAAGTTTGAACAATATATCGTATATGTTTTTGGCAATATAATCTTGTACTAAATTTTAAAAATTTTAATTTTTTCAAATGTTTCGATAACAAACTAATAGTAAAAATAGTAATTAGTAAAATAAAAAGACTATTGTAATCTTAGGCAAAGGGTTCACAAATATACTTCAGACTTCTGTAGATGAACACCAGAAGATTTACTGATGTGGATTTGCCTCATTAGGAACAAATAGGAAAACTTTAACATTTCAATAGACGAATCTAATTATTGGGCATCATAATGGAGGATGTTTCAGATCGCAATCTTGTTTGTCCCAGATATTAATCTAAGTTGTCCCTGATCTAAATCTAAATCTAAAGTTTTAATCTAGGTTGCGTCAGATACTAATCTAGGTTATGTAAGATATTAATCTGGCACAAGAAAAACTGGTCGCCCCCACCTCCGTTACACAGATGTAATAAAACGGGACCTCAAATCAGTGAACATCAATACTGACAACTGGGAAGACATAGTTCTAGACCGCAACAGATGGAGAGATACAGTGACCAAAAAAGCTATGGACAGTGAAAGTACATGGGTCTCAGCCCAGGAAGAAAAACGCACAATCCGAAAAACGGCCAGCTCCTCTACCACAGAAGCAAAAGCCACCTTAACCTGCGCTATCTGACTGTGGACGGGAGTGTCTCTCCAAAATAGGGCTCCACAGCCACATGAGGAAATGTGCTCTGAGATGTACCACAGTCGTTCTACGACTGAAGGAGGCCAATGATGATGATGATGATGAATCTAGGTTGTGTCAGATATTAATCTAGGTTGTGTCAATATTAATATAAGTTGTCCCAGATCTTAATCAAAGTTGTGCCAGATACTATTTTAGGTTTTGTCTGACATAAATCTAGTTATTTTCAAGAGTATATTAACTCTATAATAATACTAATACATTTTATACATATTACTTCTAAAAACAGCAGCTGATGTTCACCTAATAAAAAATTTAGAGCATGCATTGTAGTGAATAGTTCATATATTTAGGTTGTAGATTACCTTATTAGAAGAAATTGGATATTGTACAACTAGATTTTAAAAAATCTTCATATCGTCAGACTGTTGATTGGTAGCTTGGTTAGTGCCCCACAATAAAAAAAAGGCGTAGTGAGCAAAACGTGCGACCAAGGCAAGATACTTTATTGGCGCCCCCCCCCCCAATTTTCCATGAACATCACATAGAAATATAGGCTGCGTGTGGCGCCCCCCTTAAAGTGGCGCCCTCCTTGCTCCCCTCACTACGTCTCTCACCCACATTGTCAACACTTTGGTCCATGATTCAGTCTATAGGGCAAATGATGTTAAGGTAATCTGTTTTGTTTTGCCAACGGTTAACGAGCAGGGTGTCAAGAGGCCAACACAACGACCAATCGCCTTTGACTTTCCTCATGGAATGTCAGGTACCTATTAAAGTTGGGTGAACTCAGAGGCGCCCTAAAAATCCCGATATTCAAAATCGCAGCCTTAACCGAGATTTGAACCCAGGATTCCAGGTTAAGAAGCCAAGCGCTTAATCACTCAGCCCCCGCTATTAATACAGACATTGCAAAAAGGAAAAGCAAGCCAAACGAAAGACGGCTGGTTCCTTTGGCACCAATGTAAACGGCACCTTTACCTTCATTATATGTGGACGGCGGAAATGTCTCTCTAGAATAGTGCTCTACACTCTACAGTCATCGAGATGTAGTTCACCGAAAGAGGCCCAAACACACAGACAGACAGACACACACACATACTCAATGAGGACATGGAAAAAAATCAAGTAATGTTTTCGAAAAAAGTATCTGAGAGAAAGAACCGCAAAATCACTGCCACATCACATTACTATAGGACTAAGCTCCTTTTTCTATTTAAAACAAAATTAATTACCACTAAGTTCTAAACTAATTGGTTTTTCTTTCATTGATTAATGTATTATCATCGACTATTAATAGGAGGTGCGGTGGCGGAGCGGTAAAGCGTTTGGCTTCTGAACCGGGGTCACGGCGAATCCTGGTGAAGACTGGGATTTTTATTTCGGAACCTTGGGCGCCTCTAATGGGTACCTGACATTAGTTGTGGAAACGTAAAGACGGTTGGTCGTTGTGCTGGCCACATGACACCCTCGTTACCAGTAGGCCACAGAATCAGATGACCTTTACATCATCTGCCCTATAGATCGCACTTAGATGTGAACTTAATTTTTTTTTTTATTTTAAGAGTATCGACAATGAAAAAAGGGTCACGTGGAATCTATGTGTAATCACAAGGTTGTATCAACAAAAGATCAAAGTTTTGACAAAATCCAGCTACCAAGTACGTCACAGAAAGCAACCTTTGAACTTTAAATCCTTTTTGGCATTAAAGAGTTCAGTCACAGGGGAGCTAATGTTAGAGTGTTCAGCCACACAGGAGTTACCTAAAGCTAATTCGTCAGATCAGGCTTACCGCCACTAATCTCTGTCTTACATGTCTAGTGCAGCAGATAACAACACGATCGCTTATAACATCTAAACTTTAAACAAATGTTTTGTTTTTCCTAGGTCAAAATGTGTTGTTTTTTTCTCTTGACCTATGTAGTCTTTACGTTTGGTGGTGTCAAGTTCAAGGTCATACCTCCAGTAGACGTGTTTGCATGTGTGTGTATGTGTGCATGACTAAGATGAGTGTTTGTGAAGCGACTGGACAAGATAACGAGGACGTTGTGATGACAGCACATTGACCAAGCGGAAACATTGGTACTGATGGTTAGAGCGGGACCAATTGTTATAATAGGCCTCAACACTGACCTGCGTCG